TAGGGTTAGGGTTTAGGCTAGGGTTTCCGGGAGATTATTGGTTTGTAGTACGTTTTGGGATAACTGGACCCCGGGGAACACTGCGACACTCTTTTCAAACTCCTGAATTCTGCGGAGGCCTTTCTACATTAGTGTGCCTGATTGACTTCCCTAAGCCCTACACCCTCAAACCTGAACCCTAANNAGGCCCTAAACCCTAAAACCCTAAGCCCTAAACCCTAAACCCTAAAACCCTAAGCCCTAAACCCTAAACCCTAAAACCCTAAGCCCTACACCCCAAAACCCCCGGCCCTTCCACGCAAACGCAGGCCTCCAGTCGAACGTTGAGACCATCCTAGCGGCCGCTTGGTGCCGGGCTGTACGGATTTGGGTTAGGCTAGGGCCTAGGGGTTCAGGCTTTAGGGTTTAGGGTTCAGGGTTTAAGGTTTAGGGTTTAGGGTTTGGGGTTTAGGGTTTAGGGTTTAAGGGTTCAGGGTTTAGGGTTCAGGGTTTGGGGTTTAGAGTAGCAAAGGGGCGTTAATAATTAGAATGGGGTTAGCAAAGGGGCCCTTAATAATTAGAATAGGGTTTTAGGGCCCATTATACTATAGATATAACCCCCAAAAACACTATAGGTAATTATTAAGGCCTCTATAGTAGGTGCTTTGTTTTCGTGAGGGTATTTTTTCCGGGCAACTCAGGGTCTACGACGGGTCATGGTATTCGGGATTTAGGGATCAGGATTTACGGCTTTGAGATCTATGGCCCAGGGTTCCGGGTTTAGGGTTTATTGCATTTGCAGGTTATGAAGGACAACAGTATACACGTCCGGTAAAGGTTTAGGGTTCGGGTCTTGGGGATTAGGGTTTGAGTTTAGAGCCTTTTGAAGCCCAATAGCTCGAGTCGAGGAATGCAAGGGCAGCTTGCACAATGCGCATCCCTGAAGGGGCCCTCGTTGGCAGACGGCCTCATAATAGTATAGGGGCCGTAATAATTAGACTAGGGTTTGGTTCCCATGATACTATCATCATAACAAGGACCCCCCCCCAAAAAAAAAAAAAAAGTATAGGTAATTATTAAGGCCGTAAACCCTAAACCCTTGTGGGCAGACGGCCTCATAAGATGCCATTCAAAGGAGGGAGTTCGGAACAAAGCCCTGAGCGCTTGGCCCGAAGTCCTGGTGTGAGCCGCAAGCCCTCATCCCTGAACATTTGCAAGCCCTTACCCTAAGGGTCCAACCCTTGGCATCAAAATCGCCCAAAAGCCTAATATAATAGGGTCTTTGGGCCCAAAAGCCTTAACATACGAGTCCTTTGAGGGCAAGGGCAAGTACTTAATAATCATATACGGTCTACCCTCCCAAATATTATTAAGCTAGATGACTATATCCGTAACCAAAGTACCCGATTATTGGTTCCTATTTTTGGACCCTTGGGGTTACATGCCGTAAGCCCTGTACCCCCTTAAAAGCCTGAAGCAAGCCTGAAGCCTAAACCCTAAACCCTACACCCTAAACCCTTAAAGGCCTGAAGCAAGCCTGAAGCTCGCAACCGCAAGCCCTAATCAAACCCTAACCTTTGAGCCCCGAACCCTGGATTAGGGTTTAGTGTTTAGGGTTTAGGGTAGGGTTTAGGGTTTAGGGTTAGGGTTTAGGGCAATCCTGAAGCCCTAAAACCAAAAATGCTGAATCTGCATAGATGCTTCGGCCTCAAGCCACAAACCCTAAACCCCTAAACCGCCTAAACCCTAACACCCTATACCCTAAACCCCTTAACCCCTAAACCCTAAACCCCTGAACCCCTGAACCCTAAACTACATAAGCCCTAAGCCAACGGTAGGGGCTCCTTCGTCCGGCTCTGCACCGCCGGGCCTTGCTTTTTGTCGCCGCTCTCGTCGCTGAAAACGACGGAGTTGACCTCAGAGGGTGAAGGGTTTTGGCTTTAGGGGTTAGGGTTCAAGGTTGTAGGGTTTGCGAGAGTTTAAGGTTTTCGAGGGATTAGGGTTTTGTGGCGTAGGGTTTTCAAACATGTAGGCTTGAGGGTTTGAGGGTTTAGGGTTTTAGGGTTTTCAAGGGTTTAGGGTTTAGGGCTTATTGGTTTTTAGGGTTTTCGAGGGTTTAGGATTTAGGTTGTTCAGAGTTCTCGGGGCTTGAGGGTTTTCGAGGGTTGAGGGCTTAAGGCTTCGAGGGTTTAGGGTTTAGGGTTTGGGGTTTTAGGGGTTTCGAGGGTTGAGAGTTTAGGGTTTTGGGGCCTAGGGTGTTCAGGATTGAGGGTTGTAGGGCTTTCGAGGGTTAAGAATTTAGGGCTTTGGGGCATATTGGGCTTTAGGGTTTTCCAGGGTTTAGGGTTTTGGGCTTTAGTGCTTTCGATAGCTTAGGGTTTAGGGTTTAGGGTTTTGGGCTTCAGGGTTTTGCAGGGGTTGGGGTTTTGGGCTTTTGTGGCTTATTGGGCTTTAAAGCTTTCCAGGGTTTAGGGTTTTGAGCGTTGGGGTTTAATGTTTTCGAGGGTTTAGGGTGTAGGGTTTTGGGCTTTGGGGTGTTCGGGGCCTCATAGGGCTCAGGGCTTCATAACTTAAGGGCTTTGAAATTCATGGACTTAGGGTTCTAGCAGGGTTGTCTAGCCATCGTGCTTTCAGGTTAACCCTAAACCCTAAACC